CCTTTGAGCTGTGGTGCTGGAGAAGAGTATTGAGAATACCATGGACTGCTAGGAAAACAAATAGATTTGTCCTGGAGAGGGTTAAACCGGGTGGCTCCTTGGAGGCAAGGATTCTGAGGCTCCGTCTAACTTACTTTGGACATGTTGTGAGGAGAGACCGGTCCTTAGAGAGGGACATCATGCTTGGGAGGGTGGAGGGAAGACGCAGGAGAGGAAGGCCCTCTATGAGGTGGATTGATTCAGTGACTGGGATAATTGGGATGGGAGTGTCAGAGACAGTGCGATTGGCACAGGACAGAGTGGAGTTTAGGGCTGTTGTACATAGGGTCGCTATGAGTCGCAGGCGACTCGACGGCACATAACAACAACACAATCCTTGACCTTTTGTAGCAAGTGCTTCTGGTTTTCTTCAGTTCTTGCATACTTGCTCAGCATTTCTTAAGCTGAAAGAACTAAAGAATAAATTCAAGACACAAGTTGCAATGCTTAAGGATGCTATGGGCAGAATATTGAATTATTCAGGAAGCATTAAACGAAGATGGAAGGACTGCAACAATGAATGAATTGAAATACAAAGTCTCTGTAAATTTTCACTGAAATTAATAACAAATTAAAAAAAAAGATGGAAGTATAGAGTCATTGTACCAAAAAGAATTGGCTGACATAGAAGAATTTCAAGAAACAACATATAATCAAGAGGCAATAGTGATGAAGGAGGAAGTGCAAGCTGCTCTGAAGGACTTGGCAAAAAAATAAAGCCCCAGGAATTGATGGAATACCAACTGATGCAATTTAGCAAACAGATGCTACCCTGCATGTGCTCACCAAGCTGTGCCAAGAAATCTGGAGGACAAATACTTGGCCAACTGACTGGAAGAGATGTGTATTTATACCTATTCTGAAAAAAAGGTGACCCGACCGAGTGTGAAAATTATTGAACACTATCACTAATATCACAAATTAGCAAAATCCTGCTGAAGATTATCCAGAAAAGACATGAACAGTACATTGACAGAGAACTACCAGAAATACAAGCTGGGTTTAGAAGAGGTTGTGGCACTAGGGACATTATTGTCAATGTCAGATGGATCTTGGCCGAAAGCAGAGAGTACAAGAAGAATGTCTGTTTGTGTTTCATTAACTATGCAAAGGCATCTGACTGTGGGGATCACAATAAACTGCGGCTAACCTTGTGGAAAATGGGAATCTCAGAACACTTGATTGTGCTTATACAAAACCTATACTAGGCCAAGATGCAGTCCTCAGAACAGAGCAAAGAAACACTGCATGGTTAAAAAAAATACATTGCATGGTTCAAAATTAGGAAAGGAGTGTGTCAGGGATGCATCCTGTCCCCATATCTTTTCAATCTGTATGAAGAACAGATCATTCGGAGGAGTGTGGCATCAAGATTGGAGGAAGGTCTGTATCAGAGGCAGTGAAACAAGTTTCTCCTTGGAGGCAAGGATTTTGAAGCTCTGTCTTACATACTTGGGCACGTGGCCAGGAGAGGTAGGTCCTTGGAGAAGGGAATCATGCTTGGAAGGGTGGAGGGACAGCACAGGAGATGAAGATCCTGGATGAGATGGATTGACATAGTAACTAGGGTAACGGGGATATGTGTGTCAGAATCAGTGGAGACTGGTTCAGGACAGAGCAGCATTCAGAGCTATTGTACTTATAGGGTCACTATGAGTTGTAGGCCACTCTATGGCACATAACAACATGTATGTGGTGAAAAAGAATTGGCACAGTGTGTGCAGATTTCAAAGCCATGCTCATGGAAGAAACTCCCATCATGCAAGAGTGAAGATGCCCCTTCCTAGGAGGAACCCATCTGAGGCAGCACAAACAGACATGACGCAAGGAAGCGCAAAGAGGGTGCATAGCAAATTGCTGACCTCTTTTTCTGATCTTCTAAGGTTCTTCCTAGATTTTCTTCTCTGGTTTTTCTTATTTTTTTCCTCCTTCAAGCTTTTTACTGTGGCCACAGTATTCAGAGCTATTTCAGAGGCAGGGGCTGTGTGATTGCTCATTGACCAATCAGAGATGACGTGAGATTCCCAAGAAGGGTTGACAGGATTGGTGGGAAGTAAGAGAGAATTTGCTCCTGGAGTTGCATATTCTAAAGAACTGGTTTCCACGGGTTGAAATTCATAATAATCCCACTCTAGGCCACTGGAGGTCATTCTTCAACTAATTCTCAGTCATAAACGGGACATAAAGATCAGTATCTGTAGAATATGAAGTTAAGAATAAATTCTTCATGGCATGAAGTTTTTCTATTTCTACTCAACACCAAAGATAGAAAGCTTCTGAAATTATTTGCTTTGCAATAATTAATCCCCCCAACTTCTTTAAAGAACACATATGGGAAATTGTCTTCTTTGAATTCTTGCATATGCTTTAAAGGCTGATCATCAATAAATCAAAACCAAACCTATTGTCCTCAGATTGATCTTGATTCATAGCGACCCTACAGAACAGAACAGAACAGAACAGAACAGAGGAGCACTGCCTCATAGAAGTTTCAAGGCTATAAATCTTTTTGGAAGTAAACTATCACATCTCTTCTTCTATGGGGCAGCTGGTGAGTATGAATCACTAACCTTTCTAGTTAGCAGCCAAATGCTTTGACAGCTGATCACCAACAGGCATGATAAATGCATAGAAGGCAAACAAGGATCATACAGTGGTAAATACATTTCTTTAGAACTCTCATTACTGTGGAGTCAGAACCAACTCACAGCTGACTCTCCAGAGTATTCTGGAGACTGTAAACTGCGGAGAGGAAAGAGCCCATCTTTCTCCCTCAGAGTGGCTGGTGGATTCGAACCATCAGAGAGGTGCTGCCCTTGGGTTGGCAATGTTACTATCAATGGGCAGACTGTGCCACCAGAGTTCACTGCAGAATTATCAACTAAAAACTCTCTGGGAGCTTTGGTAGTGCAGACCATAGGAAGAACTGATTCAGGAAGGTCAGTTCTACTGTCTTCATTCCCAACTGTTTTTATACCTCTTTGCTTAGTCTCCCGCTCTCCCTGCCATTTTTCTAGGAGAAGCAGAAAATACATTGTCCAGGCCAAAATAAAAATGGAAAAAAAAATATAGAGATGGCTTTCTTTCTATGGGCATGCTGTTCCTTATCTGCCATGGTGGTTAGATTTCATGTGTTAACCTGGATAAACTTTGACATCCACTGATACGGCCAAACATTAGACTAGCTGCTGTTCCACAATGCAACCTAATGGACTGTAATCATCTCTCACAATGCAACCTAAGGTGATATCATCAGCCAATCATTTGAGAAGACTGTCTCCTTAGGATGCATTCTGACTATAGAGCAATTCCTACAAAACAGCTACTTTGGCAGAAAAAGCTCTCTCCAACACTTTCTTTCTGTCAACTAGGATAAAGCTCTAGGAACACAAGTCCATAGAAATCTGCAGCCTGCTGCCTGATCTACAGATGTTGGACTCATTACCCTCACAATTATGTGAGTCAGCCTCTCAAAGTAAATGGATCAATTTCTCTGTCTGTGTCCAACCCCTTCTTTCTGTCTCTTTGTTATGAGCTACTGCCAAGTCAGCCTCAGATGCATGGCAACCCCAAGTGTTATGACAAAGATCTGCTCCCCAAGGGTTTTAGGCTGTAATCTGATGGAAAGGGTTCTTCCTTCTGCAGAGACTTAGGGTAGCTTTATACTGTCTATTTTGGATTAGCAGCCTTTTGCAAGCTTTTTGTGCCATCCAGGCTGAGTGAGAGAGAAAAATGGGACTAGATAATTATTTATACCCACACACATAGAAACTCTGGTGATTTAGTCAGGAAGGAGCTGCATTGCCAACCCAGAAGCAGACGGTTTAAATCCACCAGCTGCTTCTCCTTGGCAAGACAGTTGGGCAATCTCCTTTTGTGTGATTTACATACTCTGAAAACCCACTGGAGGGTCAGCTGTGAGTTGGTTTAGTTTCCGACATGATGGCATCCACTTCCTAAACAACATGCCTCTGGAAACTCTATGAACATTGATAAATGTCGATAGTTATAGAAAGGCTTCAGGCCTTTTGTTCAAAGGGTCGCTGAGTCATGCTTGACTCGACAACAATATTAGAGTTGGGACAGTTTCTGAAAAATAGCTTCCAATGAAATGATCATAGGACCTTTTCCTAACAATTCACTAATGGATAATTTCTTGCTTTTCTTAAATACCCATCTTCCCTTGAATAGGGTACTATATGACACAACCCTCGAAAGGCATCTGTGACAGCATCCAAGCCATAGTTGATTGCTTCAGAATGGACACTTGACCCCAGAGAAGCCAATCAGATTCCCCTTTTTGGATAACTTCAGAAAAGACTCAGAGACCAAGGTGAGTAGACAGTCAAGATTCGATAATGATGGAACACTAGAGTAAATCCTATTTGGAGGGCTTATTTTTTTCTTAGATTCCATAAATTTCTATGTCCTTTAATTTCCCTTTGAAATAATTTGAATAAGCTCCTTTCACCTAAATGTACACAGATTTACAGAAGTCACAGTAAAGAATGGTAAAAATTAAGCTTTTAGCCCCAACTCTTCTCCAGTGATAAGCTTGGTTAATGACACGATGTCAGTATGGCTTGCTCTCTCTCTCTGTGTGTGTGTGTGTGTGTGTCTTTATCTGCTGTGTGGATGTATGTACTTGTACATCATTCCTTCCACTAGGACTAGGTGCAGGAAAATGTCCTGAGTTTTTCACTTAAAAGAGTAACAGGCAAGAATGGAAAACTGGGAAAACCATTTCATACTCATCAAACTCTAAGTTACTCCTGATGAAGGGTCTCAGAAAGAAGACCTTCAAGCTCCATTTCTCTCTTCACAGTATGAGGCACAAAGATGGTGGTAAAAAGTCTTCAGAGGGCATTTACCACCCTTCCACCCATGGCTGCACTGTGCATTTCCAGACTATACACTCCCTTCCCACCCCCAACCCTGATAGAATGATGGCTTCTACTCACATCATCCTGTATATCGAGGTCACAGCCAGCCTTTAGCAAGATATGAACGACAGACAGATGGCCCTTATTGGCAGCAAGATGCAGGGGGGTCCGGCCATGCTGTTAATGCAAAAGAAAACACCCATTAAACCATGTCTCTGAGCAAGTAGTAAAACAAGTTTTGCACAATGGCTTTTAAGGAGATCAATTCCCTTCCCCTTCCTCAGATCGGGGGATTTTACAGATTTATCCAACATTAAAATTTATCTCTCAACCCAGTTATCATCATGTAATTAATGAACAAAACATGCTCTATTTCTAAAACTTCTCTTTACAGCATCATTTCCATACCCTACTCATTAAACTTAGTAAGACTCACTCTCATTGCTCTCAAGTTGGAACCAACTCATACTTGATTCTCCAGTGAATTTTTGAGGTTCTAAACTGCATGGGAGGAGAGTGCCTATCTTTCTCCCACAGAGCTGCTGGTGGATTTGAACTGTCAGAGAATTGCAGCCTTTGAGTTACCAGCATGATTTCCTGTAGAGTAGACCCCTAGAGCTCCCTTTATAAGATGTTTGGTACTGAGGAGGTTCATATCTTGTCTTATTTTACCATTCCTGATAATTAGCTAAGGGAAGATGATGATACCACAATGGATATAGCTAGAAAAGGGAGTGACAAAACAGCAGAATGACAGCAAACAGCAAAACAAGTCCTAGATAATCCAGTTAGTCACTTACTTAGTTATCAATATAATTGATTACTATAGTGTCAACCTAAAAGTCAGCATTTTCTGTTTGGTTTTTTTTTTTTTTAGCTATTACAATTAGCTGCCCCTGGTCTCCAGCTACATTAACAACAGACACATGGTCATGCAAATAAGCATGGTTTTTCAAATTATCAATAGCTGTGCAACTAGGGTAAGAGAAAGAGTGCTTCCCACATTAAGCAGCAAGACTTGAAGCAAGCAAAACTTGTGGCAGTAAGATCCTGGTGAGAGCAAGACCCTGGTGATGGTGGTAGAGAGGCTGTGGTATTGCTGTGGAGGAACTACAGCAAGATTTGGTCTGAGGCTTCTCACATTTGTGCTGGCCACAGTTAAAGGCTTTTACTGTTCTTGCTAGATGACTGAAGGAGAAGCTGACTTATAACTGCTCTGATGATTTGCTCTTATAACTTGCTGGATGATTTGGATTTCACTGCTGAACTGAAGCCAGAGCCTGGACCAGTTGAAGAATTGTGTCCCTCATATGAGTGCAGGGATAAACTTGGACTTGTACTGTTGAGATATTCTTTGTCTCCTCCCTTTTCCAACTTCCCTAATAAACTTCGTTCTCAGTACCCAAATTGTGAGTCAGCAATGAATAAACAAACATCTTGCTGTTGCTGTAGTTCTAAAGACAACATGAGGCTGGGCTATGGGCTATTGATCTGCTTTCTGCTCTGGGGTGGTGAGAAGCTGTGCTATTCTTACTCCCTCTTGTCCTTTCAGAGAGAAGCTCAAGGCCTTGTGCTTCCATGACCCCTCTTTGTTGTTGTTGTTATGTGCCATCAAGTAGCTTATGACTCACAGTGACCTTATGTACAACAGCTTTGAACCTGTTCTTTCTTGAGTTAACCTCATTGCTTCTGACAGACATTCCCCCATTACCCTAGTCACTGAATCAATACATCTCACTGAGGGTCTTCCTCTCTTGTGCATCCCTCTACCCTTCTAAGCATGATGTCCCTCTCCAAGGACTGGTCCCTCCTTGCAACATGCCCAAAGTATGTCAGACGAAGTTTCAAAATTCTTGCCTACAAGAAGCAGCCTGGTTTCATCTCCACAATGAACCTGTTTGTTCTCCTAGCAGTCCATGGTATATTCAATACTCTTCTCCAGCACCGCCACTCAAAAGCATCAATTCTTCTTATATATAATTATTATATAATAGAACAATATAATTGGAGAGGATTTCCCCTCATTTTAAGAGAGAATTTCAAAATTATGACATATTTCAGGCATTCAAAAATGTACTACTGGCCATTAAATCATCTCAGACTCACGGCAACCCATGCAAGTCAGAGTGGAACTGTGCTCCACAATATTTTCAATGGCTTCTTTTTCTGAAGTCATTCATCAGGCCTTTTTCTGAGGAGCCTCTGGGTGGACTCAAATGCCACCCATTTGTTAGCAAACAAGCACAATGTCATTTGCTTCACCCTTGAGCAATATAAATAATATTTTTAAAATTTATGTACCCCATTTTAAGAAAATCTCATTTTCCCCTCAATCCCATTCTTTAAAAAAGATTTTATTTTTATTTTTAATAATATTATTTTTTCCATTGTTGAACATTTCCTTCCCCTTCTCCACCAACCCACCCTGCAATGCACCCCTTGTTCCAGACTGTCGTGATATATCAACCTCAGTTTTAAGTAAGTATCATTTGGTGTTCATTGTTCCTCTGCATTTCATTTTATTTTTCACTACATATTTGTAATCTAGAACAATATGTGTGATTTTGCTTGTTTCAAATCCCATTAAGTCTACATAATATATATACAATCCTATATAAATGGTTGCAAGGAGGGACCAGTCTTTGGAGAGGGACATTATGGTTGGAAGGGTAGAGGGACAGCACAAGAGAAGACCCTAGATGAGATGGATTGACTGCGGTAATAGAGGTAGGTGTGTTAGAGACAACAAGGTTGGCTTAACACAGAGCAGGGTTCAGAGCTATTTGTACATACTATGAGTCGCAAGTGACTTGATATCCCATAATAACAACAAATTGTATATGTCTTTCTGCAAATTTTTGTTTACCATTGTAATTTTGGGGTTTTCACATACTGTTGTATGTATTTCCCATTCATTTTCCAATATTCTTTTATCCACTTTGCTACTAAGAAGCACTGGGCTGTCTCCAGTGATTTGTAGAACACTCCAGTGTTCACATTGCCTTGTGTTCCTGTGTGAGTTCCTTGATCCTTTGCTGGGTCACAGAGACGACCTCTCAACTATGCTCAGCATGTGGGCTCCTGAGGTTATCCCACTGAGGGGGATACTCAGAGGAATACTGTGCGCTATAAAGCAACTTCTACCCAGAGAGCTGACCGCTGAACTCCTAATTCAACAACTTCTTAAAAAAAGTCACGTTTCACGATAAAGAAATGTTTCCACCAACTTCCCGGAACATCATTTTAACCTTAGTTTCTGAAACACAGTCCTCAAAATAAGGGAATATTAACATCGCACAGACTGCCAAAAGAACAAACATATCTTGGAGAAAGTGCAATCAGGGTGCTCCTTAGAGGTAAGGACGGTGCAACTTCATGCTTTGGGCATGCTGTCTGCAGGTGCCATTCCTTGGAAAAAGGCATCATGCTGGGGATAAGTTGGTGGTCAGTAAAAGACAGGAAGAGCCTCAACAAGAGAGTGACACAGTGACTGCATCAATGGGTTTAAGCACGGTGGAAATTGTGAGGAGCACTCAGGACCCAGCAAGGTTCCAGTCTGTTCTCATAGGGTTGCTATGAGTTGCAGTCAACTGTAGGATGCCTAGTAACAACTAACAAGTCCCGTTTAGCATCGCAATAAAGTGTCCCCAAGACTTTTCTTGATAGTCTAGCAAGATAAAGCCCTCATGATCTTAATAAAGCTCCAGTTTGTCACAGTGACCATTATGGAGAAAAAGAGAGATAATGGACGATAAAGGATCTTCATTTCTAACTATCAAATTCAATCAAAGCAAAAGAATAGTGTTAGAAATGGGAAAGAAAGAGGTCAGAGCTCACTTTAAAATTAGAATCCTTAATTAAGAAAAGTTACTCCCAAGAAAGTGGGCTATTCAAAGCCTTCATATAAAAAGGTACTGTCTGAGATAAGGAGAGTGACCTTCCTTCTCTAGTGACTGTCCTCAGCTTACTGCTATTTAACCTTGATTCTATAAAGGGAATATATAATAGCTCCAACACTGAGTATCTGGCTCATATAAAAATGATGGGCTTAAGTCTCAACTCCTAATATTTATTTTCCTTGCAACAGTCAAAGCCTTGGACAGACTTAACTAAGTAGTTAAGGATTTTCCTTGCAATTTTCAGATCCTTATGTAGACTTAAATACTACTTAGCAAAAGAAATAATTTCATGCTTGGTTAAACTAAAGATACGGATGTTGTTGTTGTTATGTGCCGATGAGTTGCCTGTGATGCACAGCTACCCTATGTACAACAGCCCTAAACCCTGCTTTTATCTTGTTCCAATCTTACTGTCTCTGGCACACCTACCCCATTAGCCCAGTCACTGAATCACTCCATCTCATCGAGGGTCTTCCTTTCTTTCTCTCTCTCTCCACCCTCCCAAGCATGACATTCCTCTCCAAGGACTAGTCCCTCCTTGCAACATGCCCAAAATATGTCAGACGAAGCTTCAGAATCCTTGCCTCCAAGGAGCAGCCTGGTCTCACCCTCTCTAAGATGAACCTGTTCATTCTCTTAGCAGTCCATGGTATGTATATTCAATACTCTTATCCAGCATCACAGCTCAAAGGCATCAATTCTCCTTCTATCATCCCTAGTCATTGTTCAGCTTTCTGATGCACAGTAAGTAATTGCAAAGACTATGGCCTGGATCAGGCGCACTTTAGTCTCCAGACTGACATAGTTGCTCTTCAGTACTTTGGAGAAAGAGGTCTCTGACAGCAGACATTCCCAATGCAGTTTGCCTTATTAATCTCCTGGCTGCTGGTACCAAGAGTGTTGATTGTGGAGCCAAGCAAACAAGCTGATAGAAATCTCAATCGCTTCACCATCTATCATGATGCTGCCAACTGGCCCAGTGGTGAGAATTTTTGTTTTCTTGATGTTGAGCTTTAATCCATATTGAAGGCTGCAGTCCTTGACCTTCTGCAGCAATCGCTTGATATAGATAGAACTGTTCTTAAGAGTGAGTTTTTCAAAACAACTACGAGATACCATTTCCGCCCAGTAACAATAATAAAGTTCAACAGACCAGCAAGCAACAAATGATGACAAGGTTGTGGAGAGATTGGAACTCTTATTCATTTCTTGTGGGAATGTAAATTGGTACAACCACTGTGGAAGTCAGTCTGGCGCTTTCTCAGAAGGTTGGAAATA